TGCCCCAGCTCAGCAATTTCTCTTTTGGACCCTTCAGAAACCCAGAAGTGCCAATTTAAAGCGAGAGAATTCAGATACAATTTTAAAACCATGGACAGATTTTGGATCAATTTTTATTTTATTACCAAATGATCTTCTTACTATATCTTTAGAGTGATTTTAATGCTTTTAAGTGTCCATCTCTGCATGCTGAAGTCCTGTATGAACCAGACAGATGGTCTTTACCACTATATATCAAGACTAACTTAGAGGAATCACTCACTTCTAGAGGTGAGATGATTAGCCTCTACGTGACATTTTTTTATTGGCATATGTACTCCATCTGCTCCCAAGGATATGGCAATTTTTGAAGACAGAAGGACCAACCTGGCAAACTGATCTGATAAACATGCAGTGGGGCTGTATTTGTTGCTTTAACAGCCCACAGGGGTGTGAAATGAGATGGAGAACCAGAATTCTTCTATGGAAATAGGTGCTCCACCACTCTTTTGAAAGGTGTATCATTTATTCCCCCTGCCCTGATTCAGTGTAGCAAGCTGGTATGGAAAGGGACACATCCTCCCTACCCTCTTTAGTGAACCTAATGCAGTTGCTAATGATAGATGTCATTCAAAGCTCAAGGCCCAGGATTGTGAATGGTTTCTGCACACTAGCCCAGATGAGGTGAGGGGTGCTGCCTGACGCCTTGTGTTATTCATACAGGACAATATAGTCTGGCTTCCTTTTTTTAAATAAATAGCTAGAATATGGAATTGGGGCATACATACATCCTGGTCTCTAAAGTTTAATATTAAAACAAACAAATACATTTTTCTTCGGGACAGAGTGGCCACACTAATTTTCCTCTTTCTGGCTGCTGCATTCCTGAATTTTAGGAAAACTGATGTCTTTGACCATCTTGTGTCATTATGATCAATGTCACATTAAAGATAGAACCCTAAGGGTAGATGTTTACTGTCAATATACCCATTTGTGGAAATACTGGAGTGGTGATACAGCTTGCTGTCACTCCAGCCTGTCTAAAGAAAACTAGACAAAAGCTTCTGATAGAGGGGGTCATAGTGGCCTGGAACTTTTCTGCTGGGGGAAGAGGGAAGGTAAGAGTAAGTATTGAAGGCAGTAGACTAAAAAGTCAAATGACCATGAAAGAACAATAAATGTGGTAAAAGTCATAAGATTTAAAAGGGGAAAAAAGAGAAAAGGGGGAGGAGAAAAAACAAAAGAACCTGAAAAGGAACGTGTGATAAAGTCTCAGAGAAGTAGCCATGGTAGTATGTAACTTTAAAAATAACAAGTAGTCCTGTAGCACCTTAGAGACAAACAAAAAAAATATATAGTATCATGAGTTTTCGTGGGCAAAACCCACTTCCTCAGATGAGCAGAGTGGAGAGAAAAGAGGGACCCTCACAATTTATAACAGAGTTCCAAGTAGCTGAAACCTTTCCTGGCATCATTCTGAGACAAAGGTACACTAGCATGCAATGTTATAGACATGATCACCCTGTTATGGAGCAGAGAGTAGTCATTAATGGTTAACAATCCTGCTGGAAAGGTATAACAAGTGGGGTTCCACAGGGGTCGGTTTTGTTCAATATCTTCATCAATGATTTAGATATCGACATAGAAAGTACGCTTATTAAGTTTGCAGATGATACCAAGCCGGGAGGGGTTGCAACTGCTTTCGAGGACAGGGTCATAATTCAAAATGATCCAAACAAATTGGAGAAATGGTCAGAGGTAAAAAGGATGACATTTAATAAGATCAAATGCAAAGTGTTCCACTTAGGAAGGAACAATCAGTTTCATACATACAGAATGGGAAGTGACTGTCTGGGGAGGAGTACAACAGAAAGGAATCTAGGGGTCATAGTGGACCACAAGCTGCATATGAGTCAGCAGTGTGATGCTGTTGCAAAAAAAGGAAACATGATTCTAGGATGCATTAACAGGTGTGTTGTGAGCAAGATACAAGAAGTCAGTCTTCCGCTCTACTCTGCACTGATTAGGCCTCAGCAGGAGTACTGTGTCCAGTTCTGGGCACCACATTTCAAGAAAGATGTGGAGAAAATTGGAGATGGTCCAGAGAAGAGCAACAAGAATGATTTAAGGTCTAAAGAACATGACCTATGAGGGAAGACTGACAGAATTGGGCTTGTTTAGTTTAGAAAAGAGAAGATTGAGAGGGGACATGATAGCGGTTTTCAGGTATCTAAAAGGATGTCACAAGGAGGAGGGAGAAAAATTGTTCTTTCTGGCCTCTGAGGATAGAACAAGAAGTAATGGGCTTAAACTGCAGCAAGGGAGGTTTAGGTTGGACATTAGGAAAAAGTTCCTAACTGTCAGCGTGGTTAAACACTGGAATAAATTGCCTAGGGAGGTTGTGGAATCTCCATCGCTGGAGATATTTAAGAGCAGGTTAGATAAATGTATATCAGCGATGGTCTAAACAGTACTGGGTCCTGCCAGGAGGGCAGTGGACTGGACTTGATGACCTCTCGAGGTCCCCTCCAGTCCTATTCTATTATTCCCTTACTCCTCATGAAATGAGGATTACACAAGTCAGAGTATGAAGTCCTCCAGTTTAACATTATTTTGTCATTATGACGAAAAAACTGCTTGTAGTGAAGAGGTGGACTATATTATTTTGGAAGAACGTTATTCTGAAATTACACTGCTATGTAGACAAACCCTTGGGGTTGTATGGCTTTGGATTTTGTCACTTAATTAGCTTAATTTGTTACTCATAAGTTATTGTAGTCAGAATTCCAAATAAACGCCAGGCAGGTACCCTTGCAAACATACTTATTTTTGTTCTGAAATACCCTAAAATTTTCAAAAATGCAGGATAGTTCACACCTGCTGTTTCAGTTTTCTCCAGAGGGGAAGCCCTGATCTCTGTTAAATAAAATATTGCCTTTTCCTACACTTGCTTAGTTGCAGGCCTGCCCCCGGATAGAGGCAGAAAGAGTGGCTCCAGAGGAAGTCCTATAGGAGCAGCCCCTAAAAAAGAAGGAATGTGCAAGCACCAGATTAGGAAACAGGAACTAGACAGGATAAAAGCCAGGGGCACCCCTTCCTACCTCACCTGATGAATGCGTGGTGAGGACTAGGACTATAGGCTCACGGAACACAGAGTGAGGGGCAGTTCAGTGGGCTCACAATTATTCCTAATGTGACTAAAGAGATAAACAATGACCAAACTTTTCCCACCATACACTTGCCTGTCAGCCTATCAGAACATTTTCATGGCTCAGCCTCTCTGGAGAAGCTAGGAGCAGCCACTGGTATGTAGGCCTTGAGCTGCCACTCTGCACAGACCATGCCTAGGGCAAGTGAAGGAAGGGCTCCTTGTCATTTCTTCTTACTTGTGTACCAGCCTAAGGGGCCAGGCACAGTCTTGCCCTCTGTGTCACTATGCTTACAGATGTCTGGCAGATCTTTTCCCCTGAAGATAAGGCACTTCAAAGGTCAGATGCAATGAATTTGTAATAAGGAATTCTTTGTTACACTAAAAGCAGAGACAGGGCGTAAACATTTTGTTTTAAAAGGGTTTTAATTCATGGTCCCTTCCTGAGCCTTTGGTGCACACTGGATCAACTTACAACTGGGGCAAAAGATCAAAAATTCTAGTGGTATGGGACCTCAGTCTGTTTTCACCCGTGAAATGTAAAGGAGCATGAAGACCAGATGAAAGAACAAGCATATTTAATGAGAGAATTGGCTGTTTGCCAGTATATCATAGTGATTGAGACACTGCATGATTTGCCATGTGATATATTAATTAAAATTGTTTTCTTTATTTTAAACATTTGAATTGGAAGGAGGGCTGATCCAAACTTTTGTCAAGTCACTGGGAGTTTTTTCATTTACTCCAGTGCTCTTTGGATCAGACCCGAAGTGACCTCCCATCAGTTTCTGTCATAGTGTTTAAAGAGTGAGATCTTCTTTAGTAGTTAATGGTGTCTTTTTTCTAATACTTACGTAAAAGTCTGTGTGGTGGTAGCCGATAGAACACTAGTTTCTATCACTATCAAGAAATCAGTGTTTCCTGCTCCGTGCATAGTTTTAATGTTCTCTGTTCTAGTGAAGTGTGCAGCAACTGGGGCAAGGGAAAATAATGCACACTTCAACTGCGTGAGGATTTCATGTATCACTGTAAACAAAAATGTTTGGAGAAAGGGTTTTTCTGAAGGAACAATTCTACACATCCTTACCAATTGTTTCAGGAAGACAGCCTCCTGTTCAAGTAACAAATGAATGGGTAATTTTATTTTCCCCCACTAGCTTAATTAAGTTCCTTTCCCCCCAAAAGATCTGCTACTTACCCAGTAGTTCTTGTGGCTCCTTGAAATATGCCAATCCCTCTGTTTTCCTCCTCCTAACATTGTTTTTCTCCATGCAAGTAGACTACTTGAGGAAATCAGTTACCACTTAGCTTGGCCAATAAGATTTATTAAATTTCATTTTTAAATAAAATGTGGTTACAGTTCCAGTGCAGCTGACAAAACTGGGACTCAACCAGCAGCTAATAAGTGCACTGACCTGAACATGTCCCAGTTATCTGCACTGACATATACATTGCATCATTCTGACAGCCATTTGTTTTTTAGCATGGGTAATCACCAATATGTTCTTTTAAGTGAGATTCATAGATGCTGATTGCATTTATTGCATAAATTACTTCATTATTAAAATCAGGTCATTTGAGCCCAAAAACCATTAACATACAAACTATCAGCATAATTTCATAAGCTAATAAATCAAGCACAGGAAAAGAATTAAGAGGGTTCTTAGCGATAAGTGTTTCTTCAGAGATTAAGGAACACAATTTTCTTATGAATATATTAACATATTAAGAATGAATTCATGCAAAAGTAATTTTTCTGCATATATAAAACTTGTGCTAAATAATTTTCATACTCAGCCACCAGAGCTGTTTCAAAATGTGTTTTTTTTCTCAAATCACTGTACAGCAATTAACCTGCTGTGATACTCTTTACCTGTAAAATTCTTATCTTTCCACTTTAATCAAACAGCTAATGTCCAGGAATAAAAAATGGCAAGATAATATCTGAAAGAAAACAAAAAATCCTAGTTAATGGCATGTTCTTCCAAGGTGAATTTAAAATATATTCTTAATCTTGAAAGGTACCAGTGAAATTATCTCTCTGATTACAATAGATCTGTGGTTGTCTTATAAAAAAGTACGTTAAAATAGATTTACTTCTCAGTCCTTCTATAACAGGCTCTGAGACTTGCCATAATAATAAAGAAATGGGTGTTATTTATTTCACCAATTAGATTTTGATTGCTTCTGAGTAAAGCAACTGTAATTATTTGGATACACAAATGCTGCATGGAAACACAATGAATTCACAGGTAAACTACACCATAATAAATAAAAATGTGTGCAGAAATTTTACCAAGCTACCAGACAACTAAGAGTTTTTTCCCACATTTAGATGGTGGTGTTTTTCCAATCTCTTGCTTACTGTTTTAGCATGTTTAATGCATTTTATCCTCAATATCAAATTCTCTGCTGTGACACACAGGCTACGTCTACACTGGCCCCTTTTCCGAAAGGGGCATGCTAATTTTACAGGTCGTAATAGGGAAATCCGTGGGGGATTTAAATATCCCCCGCGGCATTTAAATAAAAATGTCCGCCGCTTTTTTCCGGCTTTTCTAAAAGCCGGAAAAGAGCGTCTACACTGGCCCCGATCCTCCGGAAAAAAGCCCTTTTCCGGAGGATCTCTTATTCCACAGTGTAGCCACAGTGACTCATTTCCCCTCATATTTGTTGTTTAATGCTAAACAGTACTTGATATTTGTAGCCTCATAATTCCTCAGGACAGTAATAGTGAAGCCTCTTTCTTCTCTTTGAGACTCTAAAAGAAATCAGGAAATCTAAAACTTTGTGACTCGTTGAGTGCACTGCTGTATATTGGAAATAATCACAGAGGGAGAAATACAATCAGCCACTCCCAGCAGAAAGAATGCCCCAAACACAGTGGAAGTGAGTCCACTGAACAAAAGTCCTGGGCAAGCAACAGAACAGCCATACTGAAAGTGCAGAGGGGAATGCACTAGATTGGCTTTCTCTATGGCACTCTACTAGTCCTGGTCCATCATACAAAACGAAGAGGATAAACTCTTGCTTTAAGTATGAAACAGAATTCCAGCCTGAACTATGGCTTTGGAATTGTGACAATATAATACCATACCTATTTCTTTTTCTCTACTAATCCGTGCAGTTCTTTGCTGATGGTGGTGGAAGGTAAAAGGCTTTTCTGTCTTCATTGAAGATAATTTACTGTGCAGATATTTATGTGGAGAAAAATCTAATTGTATATTAATGTCATTCTAAAATTTTGAGCTAGATTGTGGTTTAAAGTAGGGATGTGAATGACTAGTCGACTATCCGATAAGCAAATGCTTAATGTCAATAAGTCGCTCCCCACCCCCTTGTTGCCTCTATCATAAAGAGGCAGCAAGGAGGAAGAAGAGGAGGGGTACTTCAAAGCGACAGCACCTCATGGAGTCTGGAGCCAGACCCTGGGCTCCATGCGGCACTGCTGCTTTGAAACACTGCATGTGGCCTGGGGCCAGCTGGAGTGTCACCAGGCTGCATGTGGCATTTCAAATCAGCAGCACCACGTGGAGCCTGGTATCAGCTGGGGACTCCCCCGCTGACCCAGGGCTCCATGCAGTGCTGCCGCTTTGAAATGCCGCATAAAGCCTGACGCTGGGCTCCCTGCAGCATTTCAAAACAGCAGTGTCGCATGGAGGCCAGGGTCAGTAGGGGAGTCCCCAGCTGATCCCAGGCTCCACGGGGTGCTGCTGGTTTGACACGCCATGGGAATTATGGGTCAGTGGGGCACTGCCCCGCTGGCCCCTGACTCTCCACAGCGCTTTCGCCTTTGAAGTGTAGCAACAGGCTGTTGCTATACTTCAAATGCAGAGGCACCCTATCAACTAGTGGACTAGTTGATGCAAATCGAAATTTAATGTCCCTAGTTTAAAGCCAGAAGCACCAAACTGAAAGCTAATAGGAGGACTTAGCAGAATTTCTCCCACAGAAATCATGCTGAATTGGTGAAATCTGCCACTCTGTCCAACTAGCCCATTTATTCACTAATCAGGTAGGCAGATCCTGAATACTAAAGGTCAGTGTCTACACTGGTGCGATCTCATGCAAAAGCGGCTGCTCTTGAGCAAAAACTTGCTGCCTGTCTACACTGGCCGCGTGTTCTTGCACAAGTAAACTGACGTTCTAATGTATAAAATCAGGGCTTCTTGTGTGAGAACTCTGACGCTCCCGCTCAGGAAGAAGCCCTTTTGCGCAAGAGCTCTTCCAGAAGAGACCAGTGTAGACAGGCAACATGAATTTCTTGCGCAAGAAAGCCCTATGCTTAAAATGGCCATCAGAGCTTTCTTGCGCAAGAGAGGGACTACACTGGCATGGATGCTCTTGCGCAAAAGCACATCTCTTGCACAAAAGCACATGCCAGTGTTGACGCTCTCTTCTGGAAGAGTTTTTGCACAAGAACTCTTCCGCAAAAGAGTTTTTGCGTGAGAACGTGCCAGCGTAGATGTAGCCAAGGAGTAATACATGTAGGGCACTCAGGCAAACTTTCTGTAGCCATACATATTGTTTATAGATTGACCACATGAAGATTGTGGGTGAAATTATTACTATTATTTATGTCATCTATATCACTGAAACAAATGCACTACCACCTCAAACATTTTGGACCAGGTTTGAAATTTAGGAATATGCTCCTGAGCCACGGAAGTCAATGTACATTTTTCCATTGACTTATAGGTATACCAACAAGAAATTACATGTAAGTGCTTGGATATTTTGCAGGTACAGCTAAGAGGCCTCTTTTTGAAAATGTGACTGTTGTGCTCTTTATACAAATATTTATTTACATAGTGAAATGACCTTAAAAGGTCAAAAGCATAAATGAAAATGTATCCTCTTTATATCTACTCAGTATTCACAGTAGGAAAAGGCCTATCTTATGCAATATGCAAATAGTGTTATCATATATAACACATGGATACTATAAATCTATTGTCAAAAGCATCTTCCACTCAAAAATTGTCCATTTTTTATCAAATCTAAGGAGAAGGAACAGTAAATAATAATATGAAAACATGGGCTAATTAGAAATGACTGCATATGAATTCACTTTTATTAAACTGGTTTTATTTAAATCGCCTCTTCATTTTCCTATGCTGGGTAGTCTAATCTACATGCCTCTGTCGCCAGAGGCATGTAGTCTAGACCACTGGTCCCCAACCATTGGAGGTTGCCAGACGCCGAGCACTTGGCGGGCGCACACAAATGCCCCTGTGGGCGCCAGGGCACCCGCAGGCACCGTGTTGGGGACCACTGGTCTAGATGTACCCTAAGAGATATATTTGGGCATAAGCTTTCTTAATTGGTTCTTTAAGCATGAAAGAGTAGGCCCAAATAAGTCTGTTAGTTTTAAGCTGCTACAGGACTCCTCATTCTTTTTACTTTGACTTGTCTTTGCCTTTCTATTTAAATTGATCTCAAATGCATAAAACTGCATAGCTGATTAATGCTTCCAGGTAGCATGAATCACACAGAGATTTGTTTCTGTTATGAGTAAGGCTATGTTTTAGCCATGAGTATTTTTACTAAAAGTTATGGACAGGTCACAGGCAGCAAACAAAAATTCACAACCCATGATCTATTCAAAGATTGTACCACATTCCACTGGCTAAATCTTGGGTGCTGGAGAGAGGGGTCTCTGAGACCGCCGTAAGTGTTCCGGGGCAAAGGGAAGTCTGGAGTCACTGCTCATGTTCGGGAGGGTGGGGGGACACAATAACCCAGAACTTACCCATGAGCTGCCAGTGGGGCCTGTGGGCCTTCCAAGCTGCTCAGGCAGTCCTGAGGTCAGTCACGCACTAGTCACTGCAGAAGTCTTGTAGGTCCCGGAACATCAAGGAATCCGTAGCAGACTTCCAGCCTTGATTCTGAGTTACCTCAGTGGATAGTCCTCATAATGGATGAATAAGAGCAATGTAATCAGAGAGGAGGAGAGGATGAATATTATATTATTGTCTTAATACATGCTTGTCTCTGCATCACTTCAAACTACAAAGGGCTAGTAAAATAAAGTTTAACACTTGAGTCCCTATTCAGGCATATCTCCCAACAGTAGTGGCAGCTGACCAGGAGAGGTACATACTCCTGTCAAGGACAGGCCCTGCTTACTTTGGATGCTGAACCTGAGAGAAAACGCTTGAGTGAATCAGGACAAATTTGTAAAGATCTGAGGACAAAAAGAATTAGCAATATATAGCATCATATGTCTTTAGTCTAGATCAGTGGTCCCCAACCATTTGGGGTTGCCGGGCCGAGCGGGGCCCTCCCCATAGCAGCATTCCCGGGGCCGGCGCTGGTGCTCTCTTCCCCCTCTCCCCCAAGCGCTGTGCGCCCGGGGCCGGCGCTGGCGCTCTCCCCCCCGCGCCGCGCGCCCGGGGCCGGTGCTGGCGCTCTCTCCTCCCCTCCCCCCTGCGCCGCCGGGG